CTATAAAACAAGTTATCCTCTCTGCAGCAATTTAGAAGTTACACGTGACAGTGGTCGGCAACGACCGATAAGTGGAATGTCATCAAGAGAATGTAAAAAATGCTCCCTTTGGGAATTATATAGAGCACAGCTAGTGATACCCGCTGCAGAATGCACTTCCAAGCAAGTGTTCAGTGAGCCCATTTCACTACGTCGAAGTGTGTAGGATCAGTAGGAACGGCTTAACTATATATAAAATACCCGTGGCATAGTCGCCATTATTTTTAAACATTTTTATTAATAAAGACAACAAAATAAACTGCAAAGTGAAATCTTATATTCCGCCGTTTTTTTCCGCTTGTCCTAGATGCGACGTTGCTTGTCGTGCCTTGGCTCGTTAGGATTGATGTTGCTAATGAAATTCCTAAGATTTACTTCATTTGCACAGACGTTTATTATAGGTGCTCTTTATAGCTGAAGCAAAATACTGTATAGTAAGCAAGTATTGACAAAACAACAGCAACAACAATAAATCTTGTTTACTCGTTTACTAATCTTCATTACTATAATTTCTCAATACACTTCTTTCACTCGTCGCTGTGCGACGCAAAAAAGACGATCAGTACGCCAAACGACACTGTCTCAATATAAAAAAAAACTAAATTTTGCTATTGGAACTAGAGTATCGGACACGGTGGTCCTAGAATAGCGCGTTGTGCCACAGCGACAAGGTAAGTAGAATTGCGATACTGATCCGCGCCCTAGAGGCAACTTGTTGCGAGAGAACATTTCGCTGTGACCGCTGCCATCGTTCAGTGTCAGTGGCCTTGCGCCGTGTCGATTTTCTTAGAATGCTAAGTGGATTCGGTTCTCCACGACCTCTCTGACTTTTAATCAATAGTCTTCCTCTGTCTCCGTTTTCTACGAATGTGTTTTCCGGCCACAGCAGGCGCAGAATGCCAGAGCGATCGTGTGTATTGTGCTTTAGGTGCCCTCTTAATAAATCGTGGAGGTCAATAATATTTGAGCCAATCGATCAATCAATGAATCAATAAAAAGCTGCGATCTAAATGAAAAAAAAAGTCACAGCTTTGCCGCAAAGGCGAAGCAATGAACGCGTCAATTTGGAAGGTCACGCACAGAATAGCAAGCAGATCGAAACGTTCCCCGCGTTTTCACGCACAAAGGACGCATGAAACGCACTCACAAGTACAGAATAACGTGAATAAGCGTCTCAGTTGTCATTTCGCTGTGTCTGAGAACACTCCCTTTTCGCAAACCAAGGCTGTGCAACGTTTGCAGTGACCTTTTAAAAACATTTTTTTAATTGGTAGCTGATTCTAGAATTACACTTGTAAACATGGGTCACCCTATGTATGTGACGAAGGGCCTACTCTTTTTTGAAAGACCCAACCTTTCCAAGCAGAGAGATTCCACGCGCGCTTTCTCCTACAAGGCGACGACGACGCGAGCACAGTTCAGTTTTGTTAGCTGTACACAGCGTGTTCCAGGTGAAGACATTGCACAGCCGCGTAAAACATGAGCTCTGCAGTGTTTTACCAAATACCACCATCTTATTACGAGGCATAACCAGAGTGGGTGCAGGCATTGGTGACATACGAGACGAAACGTGAGTAGGTAGTAACACACAAAGCTTTCAGTGCGAGATAGTACTAAGAAACATAAAAGCAGTGCATGCACATCGTAAGTGATGAGAAAGAAAGCGCGGCACGTACTGTAGAGCTCTTTCAGTTTGACAATGAGGAAATGTGATGGTCGGCGCACGAAGTATATTAGCTTTCGAGGCACAAGCTCATTAGTGGAATTCTACAAGGCGAGCTTAAAACAGAAAATTCCGTTCTTTTACAAAGTAATACCCCTGTCACACGGCAAATATAATGTCATTTACAGTGAATTTCATTCGTTTGTAATGCCATTTGTTTGCTGTTACAAGGGAAAGCTAATGCCATTTGACGAAAATGACATTTTCTGTCGAATGAGTTCCCGAAACACATTCGAATTCAATTTCGGGCCGAATGAGTAGTCTCGACGCCAATGACTTTTAATGAGATAACTGTTAACTTATGTATGCGCATCTTTTATCATTTGTAAATATCTTATTCTTTACTACATCAACTTACTACTGGTTTTGGGACATACTGGCACTCGCGAAAGTCTCTAAAATGAAAAAAAAATTGCTCTCAACTACAGTGACTGGACGCCGGCCATGTTTCATTTTCGTTTTGTTACCGTTGTTGCTTCCATCGTGGATGCTGATCGTCAGATTGCACGTGTTGTGGTGGCTAAGGTGGCGACTACACGAAATCGCTGCACGACATCTGAAGTCAGTCATGCCCCCGCTTCAGTTCACTTTGCAACTGTACTCATGTCTGGTCATATCGTCGGCCATGTTGGCTTTCGGGTGTTTTGTGCAGGTGTGGAAAATTGTGTACAACGGCTGCGTTTATATTCTGGGAGCGCTTTTTTATCTCTAAAAATTATTTTTTTGTGGATACACGCATGTTATATGCAAGTGCATTTTTATGTCTCCCAAAATTCTTGGCTCAGGAGGGCTAACGCCACGATCATCAATTCAAAATGACATTTGTTTTTGTCATGTCACAGCACGCAGTTATATAAAAGGAATTAGGTCTGCCTAATGTCATCCGTTGTAAATGAAATTAGATTTGTCGTGTGACAGCAGTATAACATAACCTGTGAGACATGAAAGTAAAGTAAAGTAAAATCAACAAGGATATTTAGTCGCTCACTCTTTTGTAAACATTAGGAGGCAAGACTCTCTCTTTCTTTTTCTGTCTCCGGTAACATAATTCGATTGGAAGCATAGTTAGACCATAGCCATGCGAGAAAATTTATGTAAACGATACAGGACGCCACATTTTGAAAGAAAAAAAGTTAAGGCATTGACCAGGTTCAGGGTGCCCAATTGATTTTGGCAGAAACACTAGTATGACGGACGCCGTTATGCAGCGACTGTGCTAAGCTGTCAAGCACCATTTTTTGGCGTCAGTGTCACTTCATATGGTTGGGGCGCTGTACGCTTACAAAAAGTGTTGCCCTGTTACTGTAGTACAGCTGCTAAGGCGACGGGCACGCTCACTGCTATGGTTACAATTACTATAATAATTTATAACTGTTGGGGTCTTACCTGCCAACAACGTTGTGATTATGAGGAACGTCGTTGTGTTCACATGCCATTCACTTATGCTCCGTAAATTTTGACCATCTGGTGTTTCTTAACATCCGCCTAAAGATCTAAGTACAACGGCCTCCAGCCAGTGCACTTATATTTATATGAGTAGATAACAGTGGTATTACAATTCTATTTGTAGTTGGACTAGCTGGAACTCCGATACCCCTGCCACACGTGGCAACTTATGTGCACTTCGAGCGTGGGCACTTACACTCACGGAGTGTCACTTTGGCGATGCGCTGCTACACGAGTAAGCGAAGTGTAGTTTGGAAATTATGGCTGTTGCAATTCACGGATTAGTGGCGCCACACATAATTGTTATATTTTTGCTCCCGTGTCTCAGCGTCGGAGTCTGCGCGGAAGTCGCACCAGGTGGCCACGCCATCGCAAATGACTAGAGAACGACAGACCTACACATGTTGAACGGTGCGAGGGAGTAAACAACGCGACAGAAGCGGCGTGTGCAAGGCATGCATGTGCTCTGGCATCCCCCCAGCGGACGCGACCGCAAACTGCCCGAAGGCAATGTCTTTTGTTGTTGTTGTTGTTGTTGTTGTTATTGTTGTACAACCTCTTTTAGTAATTGAGCAGTATTTCTAATCACGAAAACAATGATTTAAAATACAATGAGCACCACTTGATGCCATGGTGCATTTGTTCGTACACCACTGCAACCGAGGCCATATATTCCGTCGCAGCGAAGTGAGGTTGGCGAACGCTCTTGCCCGCAAGTGTACCTACTTTGCAGCGAGTGACAGTAAACTTCCTCGCCTGACAGCGTGCAAATGACACTCGCGGCGAAGTGCACTCGCTCAAAGGGCACTGAAGTTGCCACGTGAGACAGGGCTTTATATAATGGTCCCTACTCAAGTACAAGTTGGGGTTTCGTTCTCACGAAGATACTTCATGTATACTTAGGTATACATAAGAGCTGCTTCGGCTCCTTCAAGAATTCCTCGGTCATATCAGCTTGGATTTCGGGTAGTGAAACGTGTGGGCCGATACAATTTTGATAACGGGCATCGTGTTCAAACCAGGCGTAACGTCAATGATTTTAGACTGTAAACCACGTGGATGAAAACAGGTTTGGAGAGCACAAGAGAACTTTGAAAGGCTCGATCCGCTTGAAGCCAACAGTATTCCAGCTCTTCTTAAACATAACTGTTTATGGTAGCATTGAAAGTCACCGTGAATAACTTGGTTATAACTGCGATGCCTTAAGGTTGCTTTCGATACGGATATATAAACACGCCTGAGCAGAATGCAAATCAAGGAAAACTTGAAGACAAACCACTGAACACAACAAAACAGGGCACTTGACATAGTTTGATTCTCTTTAGCCTTCTTTTTACCAGAATAGCTGGAACATCTACCAATTACTGCACCCTTTTTCCCCTTCAACCCCCCTCCCTCTCCCAATCCGAGAAAAGAGCAACGCCACCTCAAATAAGGAAATCGTGTTTCACACTGCAGTTACCCCGCACCTAATGTATCAACTCCCTCCAATGCGTAAACTGCTCATTTATGCACGTAGTTCTAACACCTTAATCGTGTTTACGCACGCTTGAACAAGAGGCACGCGCTTTTTCATTATTATGCAACCAAGCAGCAAAGAGAAAGAACTAAATGAATGAATTCCGGCACACTACTTTGTTCACTACGCGCGTTTCGTTCCAAGGAGAAGCGTATTAGCGTGTCCTTTATTAAGGGGCATGCTGCTGCTGTACGGGCGTGCTTACACAACAATAAGACCATTTGTCACTTGTATTAAAGAAACAAAGAAGTCACCACGATATGATGAGCTCACCTGTTGTGATATGGATCTGCATACTCCGGCAGCATTCGGATGCCGTTCTCTCTGATGTAGCTGTCATTCAGTTTCCTGAAGGTTGAAAAACATACAAGAAGGATAAGATCAGAAAAAAAAACCTGAAGAACACCTTTTCGGCACATGAGAGTACAGCCCTGATGACACTGCAACTACCACACAAGTAACTTTGTTATGCTGCTCGAACTTAGAATCCCATAATGCGCTAACGCGGAGCCAAGCAGACCAATAAAAATACAGGGAAGACAGAGCAGTCTTTGAAAAACAATGCAAGCGTTTTTTTATATCTGCGCCAGACCAAAATCATACATGATGTTGGTTAGCGGTGGGTTAATACGGCTGTGTATGGCTCTTCCTGGAGGGCGTTTTTTCTCTTCTCAGCCAAAGGCAAGTATATATATATATATATATATATATATATATATATATATATATATATATATATATATATATATATATATATATGCAGAAGAATAACTTCGGTTGCCGCAAGGTTATAATATGAAAGTAGATGCGCTTTCACATAACAAGTGTTTATTCTGCCGACGTTTCGACGGGAACCCCGTCTTTTTCAAGGCATAATGCCTTGAAAAGGTAAAAAGGTACATTATGCCTTGAAAAAGACGGAGTTCCCGTCGAAACGTCGGCAGAATAAACAGTTATGTGCAAGCGCATCTACTTTTATGTATATATATATATATATATATATATATATATATATATAAGGGAAAGAAGTGTATACCTAAGGGCTCGTTTTTCTGTGTTTTAACACAATAATAATGAGATCTAACAGACAGTAATGCCAAGAAATGTACAGGAGAAGTTATTAGAACCAATTGAATGTAAATAAGAAGAAAGAAAAGTGGATGAAAAAATAACCAGCCGTGAGCAGGATATATATATATATATATATATATATATATATATATATATATATATATATATATATATATATATATATATATATATATATATATATATATATGCTGTGAAAGGACTTTTGTTATCATAACTGCAAACACACAACACACAACCAGAATTTTCAACCTCTATAGTCAAAAAACTAAACGTTCAGTTACGCTGTATAGGCTGACTAGTGATATGGCAGCAAAATTGAGTTTAGTGTCATTGTTTAGGACGTTGCTATGAAATGATGATTACTTTCACACAATTCTGCTATTTTTAGCATAAAAAATTTGCTTAAAAAAAGACCCGGCGGACTGCATTGTTGGTTCTCAGAGTTACTGCCAGCTGCGCTTTTTCGACAAGCTCATTAAAAATACTCCTTCCCAGCGCTAATTTCATGATTTTCAGTCGTTCTCACAAAGCTGACTATTCACACTGTATTTACATTGCGTCTTACCACGCTTGACCGGAGAAACTGTTAGAAACAGTACACTTGTTCTTGCTGCTTCGAGGCATCATTGGTTGAAGAAATTCCGCTAGTATTTGTATATATGCTTTTCGGAACACCGTTGGTACGACTAACTCGATCCGGCGGTGCACGGTAAAGTGGTTAGATGATGCCACGGCGCCTACTACAGAACCAAGACAAACAGCCCGGAACCTATTCGCTTTGTGCGCCGTTCATGCAGGCGCTGCGAACGGCACTATATAAGGTGACGCAAGCCAGTGGATTTCGCTTTTTACGTCTGCTGGGCTCTGGCTAGAACAGCTACATCTCCATTATGGATCACCCAGAAGCTCCTCGTTTACAAGTTGTATCTCCTTCTAGTATTAGTTCTATACATGGGTGCCGGCAATACAGAACGTTCATTAACGTTAACATTCATTATTGCGATATCAAGTATATGGACACTATCGGCTGGATTTCGCCGCCGGCGTCGGCATCGATGTCCCGCACCATATATATATATATATATATATATATATATATATATATATATATATATATATATATATATATATATATATATATCAAAACGCATGAAAGGAAAAAAATGCAGAAAAATGACTCCGACGCGCGGATTCAAACGTGAGACCTCAGCGTCGTAAATGCGAGACGTTAACCACTGAGCCACGAAGTGTTCCTCCTTTAATGTTTAAACGGCAAGCTATTCATACCTACCACTTACGGCTGTTGGTGGGCACCTTGGGGGGGAAACTATTGTGTTTTCAGCACTATCAGCAAGATGTCGTAACGAGCGCGCGGCGGCTTTAATCTCTCACGCGTACTTTAGCCTGGCGAAAAGGAGGACAGTGGACGATCTCTCGCGCGCCCTTATCTCGCGGTGGTGTCGATCGTACGTCTTGGCTGGCTTGGGCTTTACCTGGAATAGTTCTGTTGTAGTTACCGGGCGCACAAAGGTCACTGCAATCATTGCAGTCCCCTTTTCCAAAAAAGCACGCGCTTTTCAGACACAGCGAAGTAACAACTCAGACGCTTATTCGCGTTCATCTGTACCTGTGAGTACGTTTCGTGCGTCATTTGTGCGTGAGAAACGCGGGACACGTTTCGATCTGCTTGCCATTCTGCGCATGACCTTCCATTTTGCTGCTATCGCGTTCATTGCTTCGCCTTTGTGGCAAAGCTGTGACTTTTATTTTTTCTATACACTCTCTGCCACTTCGGTCGGCGTCATACTCCCAAGTTAGTAGCGCGACTAATCAGGCAAAGTGGCATTGAAATATAAGAGCGAACGTTTTGCCAAGCGAGTTAACCCGTTAATGCTTGAACTATGAAACCGTCGAGGAAAAAAATGTTTTAATTTTCGAGCTTTAAGCAACAACATCTCAATGATTCCTCAGTTAAATGATCTAAACTGCAACTTTAATGCATACATTTAGGTGCGTCGCGAATGCGCGACATGCTACAGAAGTGAGGATCTTGCAACAAAAAACATGCTTCAGACCTACATAACATATTATGTGCCATGGGTGGCAAATGATATGACTGATTTTCGTCGAGCCATTTTTTTTACGGCACGACCGAAAGCTCACCCTTCGTTATGTTTATAGCTGCGTAGTTATACCCTAAAGCACGCAGCTTCTTACAAGCAGTATCTTTTGACATGAAATGCTCTAAACACGGATGTACCTTACCTCCAGCAACGCTGAGATTCGATAGCGATGCCACCAGCCCTTCTCGCTATTTGTGAAAGCTTTCATCGTTATGTTTTCGCAGAGGTTCTTGTAGTTATGCTTAACCACCTTTATTTTTAGCTTTTAAAATATTTTTGAAAATAACAAGCACTTACAATGAGATAAAAATGAATTATTCTTCGTCCCTGTATTTGTATCGCATTTTATACGCCAGCGCCAGTGTCATGGGCGGCACGTGCCGGCATCGTTAGTCCCTCAATACACAAGCCAGGCCAAATCACCAAAAACGTCGCCACGCATATACACGGCCAAGCCGAGCAGCAGTGCAAGTTATTTCTGAGACAAATTGTAGGCAGCAACACTATGTCGCCCCAAAATCTTAGCGACCTAGAAGCTGCGTGCACTGTTGCTAGAGAACGACGAAGTCGTGACGAGTATCAGATTACTGCGTCGCGCGAAGCCAGCGCTACTTTAATGCGTACTACCAACGCAGGCCTGTATGTACAATTATATAAAGTACTATTTTTATATAAGGAAACCAGCAATGTTTCAGTACTACGAAAAAAAATCATTGACCGCGTACAGCAATCAACGGTAACGTGGCTATGTACACCGCATCGTTCGTTTTTTCGCCGCCAGAGGCACCACAGGTCCTTTTTGGCGACATGCATTGAAGAAATAAAAATATAAATTTCATCTCTTATAAAAAAAAAAGAGGACGAGTTTAGAGTCAGTCAACGCGACACCTTTTCATGAGTGGAGTAATCACACTTCATGTTTGGGCCGTTGTCGGTGCCTTTAATGAAAGCCAAAAAGCGCATCAATTTTTCCTGACCCATCATGCCCCCCCGTTCTCTTCGTGCTCTTACCCTTCCAAGTGTCTTCTCTAAATTTTAAGTACTTCCGGCGAGCTTACACAGCAGCTGCTGAAAACTTGGCTCTAATCAAATGTTGTGTCCTGTAACTGTCGCTAAATTTGGCAGAATGGCTACCCACATCTTTATTCTATTTCTTGTAACTCCGAACAACGCGAACAGAACCAACACAGCCTGCAGGCTTGCAACGGAGCACACACTGCACGCTGTATAAAAACATCAAGCTACAACGCAGACACGGAAGCCATAGAAAAAACACTGCAGTCAGCGATGGAAAACGGGCCGGTAAGTCTTTATGAGTGCTCCGCGGCAATAGAACAGTGATGTCAAGATTTCGTCGACGTACATACACATGCACAAATTTATGGATGGCAAACGACACACGAACAATCGACACTGAGAGCGATAATGACGGCGACTCCACTCGATTTCGCAAGAACACCTTGCTCGAAATTCAGCGCTAATTGTTTTATGATGTTACAAATGTTTCAGACTGGCCGGCAGCATTACGCAGCCTTCACCGTCGAGAGCACGTGCGCAGAGTGTGATCCGAGTCCTCCCGCCGATGTCACACTCGAGAGGACACCGCTTAGAGATCTAGGGGCGAATAACAGCGACCTGGTTTGACCGTCAAGCACATTCGCAGCAGCAGCCACGCGACGCGCACAAGTACAAAGCGCTGTCAGGTGACACCTGAAACCCGACGCACTTTCGTACCGCGGCTTCCACGTGTCGAAGCCCCATTCTCTGTACGAATTAAGGTGCACAGAAATATGACTCAAGTGACCCACAATGTAGGCACATGACGACACAAAAGCGGCTGCATGTTCATTGTGCCGTTGCCCTCTCAATTTGCGATCTCTCGCCCTCGGCTTCGGTTCTAAGTTGAGTAGTTAAAAAAAAAAAAACTTTGCAGATTTCTAGATCTTGTAAATATTTTTTTAATAGTACGCTTCAATGGGAGAGTGCACCTTCATAAAACTTTAAAGGAGCAACGCACAAGTCTACGGTTTCATGTCTACGTAGTATCGGTGCAGGCCGGGCAGGTTCTTCTCGAGTATAATTACCAGAAATCGAAAGGTTTCATTCTACATGCCAGGAAATCAGCCA